AATCAGACTATATTAAATAATTCATGTATACCAGTGGTACAATAGCCGATTAAATGCATGTGCATATTTCAGAAAAAGAAAAATACACTCAATCATTCGTCTTCAAACTCAACAAGAATTCTATAGCTATTAACTTTAAAAAATCGATTTAGTATTATTACAATGAAAACTTAATTATTAAAGTTAAGTTTAGAAAATCGTCAAAAAAAAAACTTAACTTTAACTAATTAACTGCAGTTAATGCACGCCATTTAACTACTTAATTCAGGCGCATTATTATCTATTTGAATATACGACTATGGTGTTTCTATATTTTATCAAAACGAATTTGAAATAGATTTAATCCTATTTATTGATTAATAAAATAATAGAATTTAAATTTTGATTTACTGTGTGTTATAATACAATCAAATTTTCAAAAAATTGCATGTACATTTTTTTTTTTATATCACTCATTTTGGTAAGTATGAAACGAAATAAAATGTAGGTGCCCATAACTCATACCTATACTTAATTATAACCATGTGCTTTAGCCCGCTAAAAAGGTTTACTGAATGTGTCACTGCATGACACATTCATAGACATAGACGTGCATGCCGATCATAGTATTATATTATTATAACTTTATAAAAAAAAAAATTAGTTCTGACCACCATGTGCATAATGAAACGTTTAACTACATATTTACATGGTTAAGTAAAAATTATCCACGTTAATCGTCCAGTGTATTTAAGGGATTTCATATACGCAATTTTAATCAAAATATTTACCGATTCTTGATGTCTAAATATATTAGGTTTTTTTACATTGCAGTAGTTATATTATGATATGCAACAAAAAGTTGGGGGGGGGGCATTGAGGGCAAGTGCAAACCTTGTTACCAAAACAAAAGGGTACTTTTTTACTATATGTTTATATTTATAATGATATATAGATGTATGATATCAATGTTTGTTATCATGAAAAAGTTTAAATACATATAATATAAACGATGAGTTTAGTTACTAATGAAATAAATATAAAAAGGAACGGATGCAGTTTTGTAGTATTCGAATTATTGACTTTCTTTCCTTTTCTTTTTTTTATTACAAAATTTTCATTTTTAGAAGTTCAAATTTGCTACGTTTTCAGAACGCGTCCTTACTACTTTTTTGTGAGTCTTTCACATTACATCTGATAGAGACAAAGAGCAACTAGAATTTACATTATACACTTATTTTTTCATTTGTAAATCATAAACCAATAACTAATGTAAAACCAAAACCCACATGTTTCGAAAAAAAAAAAAGTAAAAAACCTATCTTAGTCTAGCCCCCTAATTGAGCTTGTGGTAAGTGCCTTGGCCGTAAATATAAACTGAATCTGCTCTTGGTGCAACACAGTTACGTCATTATTATTCTAGGTATTTTATTATTACATCGCTATAAACGAAAGTTTTGATTTGCATCGAAACGATAACGATTCCAAACGACTAAATTAAATATCGAATCGTTTCAAAATAGATACTTCAAACGGAATAGTACCCGCGATACGGTGCGTACGACGATAATGCGGAAGTTAATATTTCATGGGAAATATTATAATTTTAATTAAAAAATGTATAAAACTTGAATGAAAGATTTAATCGTTTCGTGCAGTTTGTATAATATACAGTTTCAATCGTGAGTTTATGGTTTTAAATGATAACGAAGTATTTAAAAATAAAATAAGACTTAAAAATTATAAGAATAATGCAAGGCCATAACTGGAAAATAATTTCGATTGGGAGAGGAGGTTGTTAACCAAAAATGTGTAGTGTTCTACTATTATAGTGACTAGAATTATTTCCCTACAGCGTAGTATAACATTTACAAATTTCGGGGGTTTGAACCCTCAAAACCCTCTGTCTCTGAGATACGGTCCTGGAATCATGCCGTTAGGAGTTTATTCGCGTAGTATCAACTCAAATCGATTACCTACATAAAATCAAAGACGCACATTATGATAATGTGATTTCTGTAGAAAGGACCGTGGTTGTTTCCGTTAAGACTTCTTCCTACTGCCAAATTGTTACCATTGTCGGATTTTTAATTAAAGTCAAAAAAAAAAAAAAAAACAACGTATTAGGAAATATTTTTATACGCATAAGCGTTATACGGTATACGGTTTTTTCGTATACTTGACCAAGTCTTGGAAATAATACAAAAATATGCGCGCGAAATGTGTCGCAAATATTTTGCTGCCGTTTAATGTATCATTTATATTATGTATAGGAGAAGAAACGCGAGTTACAAGAAGGGGGTCAACCGCGACGACCGGCATTGAGGATGTCACGCGCGGAGACGACAGGGGGGGGAGCAGAATATCCCTAAACGACCGGGGTAACCGGGATTTAAAAAAAAAATAAAATAAAACTTTACCCTGTATCCTTATAGAAATCAATACGGAGAGTATAACGCGGTTGCTCTTATATATATACTCGTACACTTCCGCGTATACACTTTAACCCCACCCAATAATAGCCTGCGCGGGCTTGATAAATTCATCGTTGCATAGTAACGAGTTGGCAGGTATATTGTAGGTAGGTACCAGCAGCAACCGCCGCAGTAGACATTACCATACAATGTAAACCGCGAAGTTGTTTAAATTGTTTCCAATGGTGATTTTCTCGTTCCAGGCAACAATATTATTACTATACACAATATTCGTATAGTACAAGTCTTGGCGAATTAATGTTGTACGTTTAAAACGCGAGTATACTAAAGTTGTACAACACAATATTCACCTGCAGTATATGATCAACTCCGGCTAGTGAAATAATCGTAATTTACAATCTCCAGGGTTCGGGACTTGAAGCGTTAGTTTATCAATCGGTCCAAAGTGCTATGGAAATTCAATAATACGTCGTGTTACAATACGAGTTCAAATTTTTCAAAATTTTAAATTTTTGGTTTTTTTTATTATTATTTCGATGGTTTAAACAATGATTTTTTACTAGATTTTTCTTTTTTTAATATTTTTAAATGCTTGTTTCAGAGCTACAATGAATTTTTTAAACCCTATATTTTTATTGAATCCTGACTATATTTTATAAGGATCGAACCGCGTCCAAAATCGTCTTGAAATATTTTAGTTACCTATTGTTTTGCCGCCAAGTACCTATCGTAAAATATCAAAAAATTCGAAAAATAACAAAAAATTAATAAATTCTAAGATAATATATTATATTTTTTAGAGAATGTGTAAATGTGTGGATCTCAATATGTATTATTCTTGTAGATTTTCATAAACCTATTTACACATTTTCATCATACACAGATAATATTCCGCTTTTAAATATAAAAAATTAAAAATAATAGCTACGAAATATCAGAAATTAATATTGATTTTAGAATATTTATTATATTCTAAAGATGGCAAATATATTTTAAGTCTATTTATATGAAAAATCGATTTTTTTTTTTTTTTTATGAACATTTCCAAATGACCACAAAGTATAAATTGTATGAAAAGTTTTAATACGATTTTCGTATGAAACATATAATGGCTTAATTTACGATGATATTGTCAAAAAAAAACAAAATCATATCGTTAAGTTATTAATTACTATTTTATTATTAATAAATGTTATACAAATTTTAAAAGCTCTTCAGTATGTATAGCATGTGAATAAATCGGTTATAATAAAAGCCTACTTGACACGTACCACGACCGTTTTTTCAAATTACTTCTTTGGTATAAGTAGGTGATTCTCTTTATTATAATAAAGAGCGAACATATTAATTTTTTCATAAAATAGATGATAATCCAATATGCAATATAATATTCAGAAAGTTGAAAACAAGACCAAAGAGAGCGTGGTGTGAATGGGGAAAGCAGAACTAGAGGAGAGGATGACTCTCACCAAAACTTGAAAATTTAAACTAAAAATTCGAAAATTCAATAGTTTAATTTTAATTTCCTTTTAGTTTTAAATTCGACAAAACTATTAATTTCTCTTTTTTTTTTTTGATAGATCGATTTGATAGATTTAATGATTTTTCGATGATTTGAGACATGTTTGGAAAATGATAAGAACGACGATACAGTAAAATGAATTATTATTAATCGAAAATAATATTAAATAGTTATTTTCACACTGTTGAAAACTTGTAACACTGTTTCCCCGAAGTCGGTTTTAGAATTTTGGACGAGAAAAACGCTTTAAAATATATAACAATACGTGATTTTACAACGACAACATACAGTTATTTATTCGCCGGAAACTGCAGCTTTACGATGCAGTAAAAAATTTCAGATAATTTCATTCCTCTGCTGTATATTGAAGATATAGAGTCATAATGGTATCACACGAATCTTTAAAAAAGCTCGATTTTTCAAACCGTTAAACCTCATCTATACCACAAGAATATCTTTTTAGAATCTGAAAAAAAAGCTGAAGCTCAAGAGGACCAGCCAGACAACCAAATAATATAATTTTCGTAAACTAGACCAGTGCCTATCACCATCAAACTATCACAATTTTTATCGGAAATTTGTATTTTCAAAGAAATTCCGACGGTTAAAAATGTCAGAGAATCTCAGTTAGCGGAAACTTCAACCATCAACTACTTCAACATATGATCTGCCCAGCCATCACGCTCAATGGTCTACCTCTCCATACTACCTAAAATTTCCATTACCAAGTCCTACATCTGAATCGTCGTTTAACTTGGACAGCCTATTTACACAACAAACATCTTATCCTCAACAACCGCCACAGGCAGGTTCGTCCTCTCCTTACGTCCACATCACACTTCATAATAAAATTCTTCTCTATAAATCATTCCTTAAACCTGTCTAGTCCTATGGCATTCAGCTCTGGGGTTCAGCCAAGGTCTCAAAAAATAAATATTTTTTAATATAGTTATCAACTGTCTCATATGATCCATGTTCATATACTTTGAGTACACTCGGAATTAATTGTTCATTCGCAATTTGCTCACATTTATACTATACTGAATTTCGACATTAAAACCGCCATGGAAAATAACGGATCATCGGCAATGGACCTTGGACGTAAGACGGATTCTGAGAGGAATAATCACACGCCGCAGGACCATCGGTTGATTGGAATGATCGTAGTCGCAGTCCTGACGGAATCTTTGAAAATTCGGGTTAAACGTACACGCGCGCCTAAACCAGAATGACTATGTTTCAAGTGTTTCGATATACAATGCGAGCTTAGAAAAAAATTAATTTTTCGCGTTTTACATTATTATAGTGTATCTCGTTCACGATGAATAATATTATTAAAATCGTGCAGTACTTACGAATGTACTATTTTTTTCAACCAAATTTTTTAGTCGATTATAATATAACCAATATTATGTTTTTTTTAAGTTTGTTACAATTTAGAATTCGGAATCGATCGCAGAAAACCCCACACATGGGTCCTATGTGTCATGCGAGTGAAAGCGTATTGATATTCTGGGTGACATGAAGAAATAATAAGTTTCTCGCTTATAATATAGGTACACCCGCCCTAGCATTTGTGATATTATATTAGGACGGGTATGGCAACTGTTGTAGGTGAGAAGTTGGGAAGGTAGGATACATAAGGTTATTTTATTTATATCTGTAAGCAACGATAAACTATTGATAACGAAAGACGATTCCGAGCACAGTTCGATAGTACATAATTTGAAGTGTAGTCATTTTTTTTGCGATTTTCATTTAAATTAGATTTCAAAACGCATATTAAAACAAAAAGTCGTTAGATGATTTTGGAAATTTTACACGTCTAGTTGAGTCCAATATAATTACAGTATTATTACCAAGTTTCAAATCTTTAAGTGTAGTCGGGTTAATCGCCGACACTGAATACCTAAAACTAGGTTTAGATGGTCATGGTCAAAAACGATTTCAAATTTTCTATGGCCAAAAAATATATTTATCGATTGATCGGCCGAATTATTGTTGTACAGTTTTAATTCCCCCGTAAGTTCTACAGTTACGTATAATATGCTGCGTAGTATAACTAAATTATAGTTTTGGCACATACGGAAAATTCGTACAAAACAATGTATTTTACTGAAAATATAAAATAATAATACAGTAAGTAAAGTGGGTGCGGCATACGGTTTTGCCCTGGAGAAAAAATTTAAACGAGTTTACATGGAACCGATAAATAAATTTGCTTCGCTCGAGTGTGTCACGAGGTAAAAATAAGTAGGGAATAAAAAACTTAAAAAATATCCGGTCGAAAAAAAAACTACACCTAGGTACTCGAACGTGTGCTATCACCGGGAGCTGTACTATTTCTCTCGGCCGAATAAACTGAAAATGTATATGTATGAAATAAACGTAAATGTTTTTGGTCCAAAAGTTGGTAACGCTAAATTAAATTTATTTTTCAAGATTTGTACTTTGTATATTCCAGGTTTGTACTTTCCAGATTTGTATTTTCAATAATTGTACGTTCCAGATTTATACATTCAAGGTTTGTACGTTCCAGATTTGTACGCGCTCTCGTGATAAATATCGCGATTTAAAAATGCCTAAAAATATCGCTTAAATCTCCCCTCGAAATCGGAATCGGTTACAAAATGACGAAATGCGTTTGGTTTCACTGGTCACACCGGTTACAAATTTGCGTGACCATCTCGGATAGACGGCGACGATCGGCGACTTTTCATCATCTCCACCAAAATTATTATTCCTCCTGGTTAAGCCATCGGCGTGGCGTCTAGGACACGATATTGTTATCATTACTATCGTGGCCGTAGTAAGTTGTTGTTGCTGTCGTCGTGTCGTTACGTCTACCGTACAAAACGAGCCACTTCTCATCATAGAATAATATATAGTTTATTGTCATAGAAAAGAGCGAACGTAATAACTGATGAATTTGCATATGTGACACGCCTCCAAAAAGCAAGCTTGTGACTGGATGGAGGGGTGAGTTCTTAAGACAGTCACAGAAATCAAACAGAGCCGAACGTAACGGCGAGTGCCTGCGTAATTATATAAATTAAATGTGTATAATATCGTGATATTGAAGGAAATCAATAGTGAACGTGACGAGCGATAAATATGACATTCGGTTATCTTATTATAAAATAATAGAAAAAAAACAACGCACGGTAAATTCCGTTGACTCGTATTGAATCGCGAGGTCGTCAAAACCAATTGCACAAAACCTGTTATTGTTTCGCGACAACAGGACGACGGGGTAAGCCGTCTACGAGTGACGCGGGTCGAAAACGCGCAGCACCGCCGTCGTCGACGCCTACACCGCCGGTCACCGTACGCGCAATATGAGAATCGCGACTGTACAAACCAAAAACGGTTCACTGTCTGCGATCCGCGAAACCGCGTACCCGGTGACGCGGCGAAATAATAACCGGCGCGTAATGTGCGGGCCGCGCACCTGCCTCGTGTACTACGCAACGCGCTGCCGTCGACGCGGCACACGTCAGAGCCGAACGGTTTCCCGCCGTCAAACGCCGTTGTGCCGCTGCAGTGCCGCGGGACGACGACGACGACGATAACAATGATGATAATGTAATTCCACGCGGCTCGAGAGCCCGCCGCGCGTCGCGCGCGCACTTACAGTTCGGAAATGTTTGCCGTCGTCGCCCCTACGCCCCGGGGGTGTTTTTTCGCCCACTTCAAGTCCGCCGCGCGCACCGCGCACCGAGAACGGGCGGCGGCGGTGCGCATAGCGTAATGGAATTTCGCGTAGGTATAATAGGTGCCGCACAATAATATATCGTACACGACAAATGTGAGGTTTACCGAAATCCCGGGGAAAAAAAAACGCGAAATCTCGCATAATACGCACGTGCGATATTATTGTATGCTGCCCGCGACGATTCGCGCGATCCCGGGGGACGGAATCGCGATGAAAACGTCCGCCGTACCTATGTATACGTAAATGTGGGAAATTGTCACGGCTATACGTTTTACCAAAATGTTCCGAACAAACTGCCGCCGGCCGGGTTATCATTTAATGAGGCGCGGCCCAACGTCATTTGATTTGTACCCGTACGCAACGAACGATAAATGGTTTCCGGCGCAGTACGGTTCTGAGGCAGAGTCCGGTTGAAAAACGTTTCGAACGACGGCGTAAAAAATACATATACTTATCACTGAGTACAACTTTTAATTACCGTCGTGTTCAATTTGAAAGCGTTTATGTTTGGCCAAACGATTTTATCCGCGTGTCAAATGTCAAACGCCTACATAATAAATAACTGAGAAATTGCCAGAATATTTTGACGGTTTTATACCGCGCCTGGAAGACAACGGTGTGAGTATTCTGAGGACATTGCTGGTCTCTGTAAAAATTTTAAACCTAATAACAAGATAAAAATACAAAATCAAAAACAATGAAATCGTTTTGCCATACACTGTTTCGTTTTTCTTCGGATTAAATAAATAAAGGGAAAACACACTCGAAACTAAACGAAATTATGTAGCTGATTCACCGACTCCACCTAAAAATCTACAAAAGATGACTCGTAAAATTTCCGCTAGAAAAGTCGTCAGACGGGGGAAAAAACGAGCACCGGAATAGAAGAACCGCTAGGTGGCGTTCTGGAAAAGTAAAACAAATTAATTAAAAAAGAACGGACATAATTCGCACGTGGATGCAGCCACTGTTATGGGTGGGAAGTTAGGAAGGTAAAATACAGACAGGAATTCAATAAATATCTGTAAGCAACGATAAACCATTGCTAACGAAAAAACGATTCTGAGCTGAGATCAATTGATGGTGCTGCTTTGTCAACAATATATGTATAAAAAGAGATTAAAATAATAAAAACTTAATAATAACAAAAAATAAATAAAAACGGTTGCCAATGACAGTCTTATTTTTAATCTGTCAATCTTTTTCAACCTAAAGAACCGGGTTTTCTTCATTATTTCGAATATTAATGAGAATTTCAAAAAAAAAAACGACCTCTTTAAAGTACCACCCAGAGAACATTCCCTTTCAGAAAAAGCGCTACGCTCGGAGTAAGCTTTCTGGTAGAAAAAGTGTTCGCATAAAAAAAAAATTTAAAACAAAATGAACATCGTTTTAAAACCAATACATTCCTCGTTCCACTGGGAATTCAAAACGAAATATCGTACCGGTCGCGGGAAAATCCGAATCTAGCGACGGAATCCCGCGGTTCCGAGTGGCGGGGGGTTTTTTTTTTTTTTTTTTCTCTGTCTCTATTCGCCTATCGATCGAAAAACGCTACAATAATACCCACACGCGACATGTTAAGCCCCCGATTTTCCCCGCGGCGGCGGTTCGATTCGCGGCGTCCGAACGGGCGCACGGCCGGACAGCCGCGGCGCGGTGGGTTACTGCCGTGCGGCAGGGCGCGCCGCGGATTCAGACGAATTTATTAAACGCTCGTCGGTCGTATTATGTTGTAATATACGGGGTAGCGACGACGGCGCACGAGGGTGACGACGATCGGCGGCGCGCGGCCCGTGTTTGGCGAAAGGATCGGGAAAAAATGATAATAAAAAAACATCGCACACTGCTATAATATTATACGACCTCATAGTATTACACTGCTACTGCCGCGCGATAGTAATAGTACTCGTGTCGCACGCCGTACATAATAAACGCGTCGTTCGCGCGTAGATTAAGTGCTCTCGTCCGCGGCCCAGTCAGCAGTAATAACGCGGGCCGCTGCTGCCCGGGGTCTCGTCGGGCGCACGGGCGTGCGCCCGCGACGACGCGATGCGCGCGGCGGCGGTGACTCGGGAAATCGCGGGAAGACTTTATTACGGAACGCGGTCTCGCGTCCGCGTGCGTAATATTACGTTACACCCCTGCGCGGGCACGGCGAACGCGCCCGATCCGTGGAACGGGCAACGGTCCCCGGCGTCCCGCGGCTAATAAACCGCCCGTTTTCGGGCCGCCGAAACGGATATAGTACCGTCAATCCGTGTACGCGCGAACGTTTTGGATTGGCATTTTTCAGTCATCAATTATTGTTAAACCGCGATGTTTGTAACCAATTTACTTGGGCCGGTTTCCCCCCCCACCACCACCCTCCCACCGCGGGCGCTATAGAATCGGGTATCTCGTTTGCGTGCCAATCCGCGGACCGGGCGAAACATTGACCGTTTCACGAATCGGGACAAGTTCGAGACTCGTAGAGCTCAGCGCACACATAGGCGCACATTCAATGCAATTATACAGTACACGCGTTACGGGGCGATTATATTTCTCTGGTCGGACCGGTACCTATTAAGAATGCGGCCAGAAAAATATCGTTTTTACCCCCCCCCCACGAAAAACATGGGCCGACAGCGGCCCACTTTTAGCTCGTCCGCGCATCCTTTCGCCAGATCGGTTCCCTTGAAAACGTCCTCTGCGCCGACGGCTTATCACGGTCAATCAATAGCCTGTGGTAGTTACGCTGTGTTGTGTTGGGTTATAGTCACTTACTCCGATTATTTACATATCCCACCCGACCTTACCGGATTTACTTAACTCATTTTTATCGGGGGCCTACCGGGAGATTTCCCGGTGGACTGGTCTAACTCAGCGCATACTGTTATACACAGTTATATAGAAAACTCACTAAAAATAACTGCACTGCACAGCTGACGATTGCAGCAGCAGCACATGCTTGGCATATCATATTGTTGCTAATTTTGATTTTTTTTTTTTTTTTTCATTGCTGTTATCGTTAAATATGGTTAACGGTTGTAGAATTTTAATACATTTTTCCGCGGAACACAGCTTAAGAAACATATACGACATATATTAAAATATTTAGGCACAGTGTCTGTGTAGAATATATTAAGGGAAAGGTGGCCACAGTAAAACGTCGAAAGTTATTATTCAAATATTTTTTTTAATTTAAACGATATGGATTTTTAATGTGTATGGATTTATTCCAAATTTTCTTAGGTTTTTAAAAATTCAAACGTCAATAAATTGAATAACTGAATAACTACATTTCTATTAAGACGATTTTTTTTTTTTTTTTTTTTAATTATTCAAAGGATCTTATTGTTGCCAATAAACCATGGACACGCCCACAGAAACACTGTGTCAATGGAACAGTTTAAAATGAATAATATATTAAAAATAGGTTGTAATTGATATTTTAATCACCCAATTAGTAAAAACGATTTAAAATATTTGTAAATTCAACAACTACAATAAACAAAATTATAAAGGACGTTCATACTTCGCACGTGGGTGCAGCCACTGTTGTAGGAAGGAAGTTGTGAAGGTAGGATACAGACGGAAATTTAATGTATACCTGTAAGCAACGATAAACTATCACTAACTAAAAAACGATTCTGGGCGGAGATCAATTGATGGTGCTGCTTTGTCAATAATTTATTATATGTCATATTATGGTAAAACGATTGAGTAAAATAATGTGCTTTTCCGTGACAATAATGATTGTTTAAAAAATATTAAAATAATAACAACTTAATAATAACAAAAAATAAATAAAAACGGTTTCCAATAACAACATTATTTTTAATCTTTCAATCTTTTTTAACCCAATAAACCAAATTTTCCTCATTATCTGGAATATTAATGAGAATTTCAAAAAATGACTTCTCTAAATTACCGTCCAGAGAACAATTTCTTTCAGAAAAGGTGCTATACTTAATAATCGGAATAAGCTTTTTGGTAGAAGAAGTGTTCATACAAAAAAAATAATAACAATAAAATAATAAACATCTTTGTAAAACCAATACATTCTTCGCTAAACTCAAAATTTAAAATACTGTTATATTCATACATTTTACTTTAATAAGTAAAATTATTATTACTTTTATACTTTATAAATAACAAAAAGTTAAAATAAATGTTATCGCTTTATGTTTTCTAGTCGGTCTGAGATATAAATCAGTGTAGATTTAGGTAAGTATTAGGTATTATATATAGATATTTCAATGCTAGGACAGTACCTAAACCTAATACTACCGTCTTAATGAGTACCTACTTGCATACATTATTATCCCTTATACATTAACCATAATAATCAAATTCATAATTTAATTAGGTAGGTACATAATATACAGTGATGGGAAAGTTATTTTTAACGGTTAGGTATAGGTAATTTAATATATACACTATACCTGTAACCAACGACAAATCATTGCAAACGAAAAAGCGATTCTGAGCGGAGTTCAGCTGATAGTGATGCTTTTTCAATAATATGTATGTAATATTATGGAAAAATGGTTTGCACATGCATTAAATATTATCTTTAATAATATTTGTTTTATTGTTTAATATTGTACCTATTTTCCCGTTCTCCCGAATTGTTTCCAATATGTATATAGGTATACTGAGAAAACACCTAAAAAATAAATCAAAAATGACCTCTTTAAAGTACCTACCCCGGTCCGATTTATTTGTTCGTTTATTATTTCGAAGAGGAAATGAAAGGGGATGAAGCCGGTGTAATTAGTTCGCACTAGTGAGCCTATATAAAATATATATAATATTAATATTATTTAAGTTCTCTAGTTTGTGCGATATGCATGCGATGATGCGGAAAAATTAAACCGGTGCGCGGATGTCGTTAATTTTAACACCGGTTACTCCGAAAAATTTCTCAAATTTACACCGCTTTGATTTTTAAGGGGAAATTTACACCGGTTTTACCAACGAATTTCTTGCCGTGTTACCAATATGATTCAAAATGTAGCACTGGGTTACCGAACATGGTATTACGGTCTCATCATTCATCATGAATGTTTTGATAATTTTACCGCCATCCGGCCATCGCGATTTGTATAAATATTATAATTTTTAAATTTTAAATTAAATATCTTAGTCTCTATTCTCTAATATAATCATAATCTACGGTCTATTAATAAATTATGGTGTGTGTATTCAATATGTGTCTATTGTGGATTATCTTCAAAAAATAATGCAGATTTGTCATTTCATTGCACGATTAATAAAATAATATACATATAATATATTGCATAATGCATAGCATAAGAATAATGGTTGCAACAATCAATGAACTAATGAACTGTTTTCGTTTTTTTTTTTTTTTTTTTTTTTTAAATCTTCATCAATTCTACATAGTAGGTATTTTATCTTTTTATAATAATTATAATTATTTACTATAATTTTACGGTTTTATAACAATCCTATGAATATCAATGTTAAATATGTATACTGTGTCTTTTGGCAACCCACAAGGTGGGCAGCCCGCTTGATAAAGTTGTTATACCACAGTATATACGATCGTGAACTAAACAACCAAGATTTTCGAGAAAGAAAATAATACGTATCGACACGTTTCGGAAACGTACTCGAGTATCCAAGAAGTTTATGATACAACAGACTGTGATACGCATCTATTCGTGTCGGGATTTAATGTCGATACGTGGCTCACGATGCGCCGGTTCACCCGTATCATTTATAATTCGGCGGGAAATTGTATTATTATTACATATATTTAAATTTAGATTACATTTATTAGTATGTATTATAGATATTAGTATTAGATTTAATATAGAAATTAGTTTTAACCTTAAAAAGTTATTTGTTGATTGCTATTAGAAAAATAATGAATGAGTTAATTTTTTCATTGAACTTATTTTTACTTTATTCATATTTCATTGCTGGATTATGGAACCGCTCTTCGGCAGGGATGAAACAATGAACGTTTAATGTTTATGTAAGTACAGTACATGAATTCAACTATGCAATTGTAATGGAATGTTATTTAAAATTTACTACACTATTAAAATGGTGTTTTGTTAATTATTCTGGTATGTGATGATTGCTCTGAGGTTTATTTTAGTACAGAAACCCACACTTGTAAGAATCTTTCAAAAAGAAAAACCAATCCAGAAATATGGTAATTTTAAAATAAAAAACTTATCAATAACATTAAATTAGATAGGTACATTTTATTCATATCCAAAAATAGATAAACTATTAACCAGAGTTCTGGATTTAACATAATATTTTAGCAAATCATCTACAGATTTATTCACCAATCATACTTACCTATATCCTGTATAAATACCTTAAAATAGGTAGTTTTACTTGCCACAGCCCTCAGGACATTCCTTATTTAGTTTATAAAATCTAAGTATTAAAAATTAATATGGATTTACTCTTTGAATTTTCTTAAAAATTCTAAAAATCATAATTTAAATAAATGTATGGGTAATTAAATGAAAAATGAGGGTTGAAATGTTAAGTAAATCATCATTTATTTTAATAAATTTTAAATCTGATTTAGTGTTGATAATGATTCATCTAACACACCTACAACACATACTAATGTTTACAAAAAACAAAAATTATTTAGCCAGATAGAAAGTTAGTTACTTTGTTATATTATTTCTTAAAATAATATAATTGACGCCTATAAAATTCATTTGATTATAGTACTTGCTTTGAGCTGGTCCCAAATTGCGTCTTATAAGCATCATACATTAGCTGTGTATTATAAGACCATTTGACTAACATAAATATATTATTTTATTTTAAAAGCCACTTGGCATTATTATTTAATTTACTTCTAAATAAAAATAGTCAAGAACTTTGAAATTTTATCGAATTAAATTACATTTTGTAGTTAAATTTAAAATTAATTTTAGATAAAAATCCATACCATTTATTATTTATGTTTTTCAAGATCCACAAAATGTAGAAAATAGAGAAATAAAAATTTCCAATACAAAATGGAATGAACAAAACACAAAATTGTTAATCTCCCTTTATAGGGATATGGAAGATCAATTTGAAATACCGTATCAAGTTAAATATTTTATAAATACATATCTTCTAATTAAGTTTATATTAATTCTATTAACTAGAATACCATAAACAATTTTTTTAAACATCTCTATCATAAGCTAAAGAATTTTATTTATTATCTGGTACTCTACAATTTATTTTTATTTAATTTAGGGGAAAAATCAAACTATAGGTAAGATGGCAGTTCATAAATGCATTGAAAGTATTATGACTTGTGTACCACACACTAAGTTGAAATGTTCTATACTAACCATTTCTTTTTCCTTTTATTCCTATCATAAATATGATTAAATTAATTTTTATGTAGCAACAATTCAAAAGAAATCAATTCTATTATGAACTTTAAAATTATTGAATTACATAAAACAAAAAAATTAATATTATCATTAATAATTTAAATATTTGTATTTTGTAATTAGTTAACAGTTATCAGTTATATTGATAAAAACCAGTAGTTATATTACCAAATGTTCTCATTGAAAATCCAAATTGCTATACATTTCGATGTGTACTAGTTTTTTTTTTTATGCGTATCACTACAAAAAAACCGATCGTAACGATATCGATATGGCCTTCTTGAAAATCTTCAACTTATTAAAATATTATTTACTAATTTATTATTGATGATGACAAAATATTATCATTTATTATTATCAATTACCAAGTAACCACTATCTAACCGCTTTGGTAACATAAGTTTTTTTCCGTCACGGAACGCTCTGTGTATGGCCCATCCATTACATTATTATCTATGCATATTACACTATGATATGGCCACAGTTATAAAATACTTATATTTATTTATATTTTACTTGTGTTTTATATCCGTAGATATGGCTATGATTTCTTATCATTTTTTCTGAAAACTGTATACTACCCTAGATGTATAGATAGCGTTTTCAAACTCTTCACTTGATAATGTTCTTTTATTGTTATTTCTATGATCACTGTTCTTACTGGTTAGCAATTTGAACTCAATTTTCATTCAATGGATTTCGTCGTTACAAGATTTATTTATTTTTTTAACTGTAAAGTAATAATATTAATATTATTTCACCAAAACATAAATCAAAATACCTAGTTTTGAAATATCTATGAGGTAAGCAAACGTCTATAACAACCTTGAATTGTACAAAATGTGTATTTGTCATGTACCTACACAACAACGGTATGTGGGAATTATGAATACACATTGATAATGTTGTAATCTATGTGAAACTGTACACTTTTTGTAATTAACCAATAGTTTCTACAATTTTTCATACTGTGTTCTTGAACGAATAAGACAAAACATAAATATTGTGTATAATTTTTTCAAAGAAATTCAAAAATTTGAAAATCCTGTAGTTATCTTACTCTTTAGTCTTAATACTAATACTAATTTAATTTGTATATTATGTATGTTAATGATCCAACCATAAACACTACGAAATGATGTTCTTAATCCTAATATTCGAGTAACCCTATTGTTGTCTATAGTTTATACAGCTATAAATTGAATTTAAGTTACATATAAAACTGTTATATACAAATTTAGGTACATTCTATAAATTATTAAACTAATAATTACATTGGGTACTTTGTATTATGTTTTTAAATAATTTATTTGATATTGGTTTTATAATAACTTTATATTTTAAATTATTGTGCTAATATACAACTTAGTAGTTGTTCATAATCTTTCCTGGTAGGTAAGTGACCGATGTTGCTGTACATAGATTTAAAATCAATTGTAGATAGGTTATCAAAAAACAGCCTTGACAAATTGGTACTATAACTTGCAGGTTGAAGAATGGCTTTTGTGTCTGAGAAAAAATATCGAAAGAATTGTGCATACATTTTTTGTTTATATACCGCCTTAGACAAATTTCCATAGGTCAGATTTTCTATTTTTCCATTTCGTTATAAAGTTATACATTTATACTATTAAAAACTTTTTCTATGACAGTATATAAACAAAAAGTCTATGATACGTTTATCGATATTTTGACATTTTTTCCTCAGATCCAAAAGCATCTGGCAATACTTCATAGGTATGAAGTATTATAATAAACCTTGTAGGTTAAATTTTTTTTTTTATCTTAATCAAAGTTTTTTTAAAAAATGCGAACTTTTGTATAGTAAAATTAATTTTATATTAAAATATAGTCATAATTTAAATAATGCAATTATAATATTGTTTAATAATAACAATTTATTGATACAATTGAACATTACCTATTTTTATATACAGTGAAAAAAAATGTAATAAAAAACTATGTAACGTACAAATTACTTAATGATGGTTGGTTTGCTTTAAAAACCATATATTAGGTAGTTCTTTAAATTTTTTTATTGCGAAAATTCTTCAAATATAATAAAATAAATCTCTTAGTCCCTTAAGATCTGTTATAAAGAGTTGTCACTGTATTGTATATAGTATATACTAAAATATATGCGAACATTAACTAATACCGTGTTGTGTATGTCAACATTGACCAAAATCCTGATGTAAATGTTAATATTTACTAGTTTACGTCTAAATTTTTTTAATTATTCAACATTCACAGTAACATATATATATATATAAAAAATATCTTTGAGCAATTTTAATATTGAAAATAAATTCAAGGTAAATTCTATTTTGACTTCTTATTGTGCAGATACATTTATAGGTTGGTTTTTTAATGAAAAATTAAATCAATTTATTATATCTATTTGTGAACTTTTTATTTAAAATTTCTTAACTATTTTTTTTATAAAACTACTAATTTAATATGATTTATATTTTAAAAATGTTTTTTCTATCTGTAAACGATTTTTCTGAAACGCAACATATTTATTCTCTAACCGTTTAAATTTATTCCTAAATTGGTATCTATGTCTTATCTATTGCTTCTTGGATATTTGCATTTAATGTGATTGGGGATAACGTGCATTCTTGTCTAACTCCTTTGTTTATATTTGCTTCCTCTACATTATTTTGGGATTCTTATAACAGTTCTTTATATAGATTGTAGATAAAAATCTCTTGTATATGTTTCTTATCCCCAATCTTTGTTTATATTTCCTTATTCTTTTCTGAATGATTATCATGTCCCATGTTCTTTCTGAACCCTTATTGATCTTCTGGTAGCGACTATTCTATCTTGGCTTCAATATGTTGGCATATAACCTTTATTATTATTGTTGTGGCATGGAATAGTAGGTAGTAGTAGATACTCGCACACTATTATAAAATTCTTATATTGTCATCTATGACTACATAGATCTTGTAAGAACTTCTAACCCCCAACTCCAATGTCTGTGAGTTAGCGAAAATCTTTAGAATTATTAACTGCACATATTTTGACATAATTTTTTGGTTTAATTCCTAATAATTATATGAAAAAAAAACTGAAATAATATATTGTGAAGGCAAAAATTTCTCTGGGAAAAATTTGTCTTTAGTGATGGAACTCTGCTGATTATGTGACTTTCTTATTTTGTATTATCCAGGAAATAATTTCTTAAGGTACTTTTTTACCTATATTTAATGACGAGAGAGGAACCCATGTTTCAACCAAAATTTTTCCAAGTCCGTACAGCCCCACCATTAAATACCTCATTAGCTATGTAATAGTTTAGGCTAGGTAATAGTTCACATGTGACAACAACCTGTCGTTCAGAATGTTTGAGTAGAGAAAAAAGTTTCCCTGAGACATTCAGTTGCATGTGTGTACAAGCTTTTTCTCTCATGAGCTGAAGTATAAGTATCCTTCAATTTCTTGATACTAAAAATGAAATGTTGTTCTAGTGTATTAGTACTTATTAATAATAATATTAGCAATATTAATACATTTTTAATAATTACTTTTTTATTTCAGTAATCATAATATTTCAGAAAAATGGATATGTTTGGTAACCCAATACCTGGATCATCAAAAGAATTTGACAGTGATTTTCAATGGTTGGAAACTGAGTTCATTGCTAATGATGAAAATAAAGATGTTTTTGTTTGCTCACCGACGAATAATGATATAATTTTGAATAATGATCAAAATATTAAAGTAGATCAAATCAAACCAAGTCCCACCCATAATATTGAAGATTTCTTTGATGAAATTCAAAGTATAGATTTTAGTCAAAATCAAGATTCTGGACAAAACAATACAATTTTACTAGAATTATTAGAACGATGTGAAAATTTAATTGATATTGTAAGCCGTAATTTAATTGATTTAGATGAAATTATTGTGGGAATTGATGAAAATATTGCCTGTTCAGTAAGAAATGCTACCAAAGCAAATGATGCTATCGAATATGAAAAGAAGTCTATAATGAAAATACCAATCAAAAAATTAAAAAATAAAGCTTACTTGGCAAACTATTTCAAAATTGGCTTATCAAACTGCCCCAAAAATCCCCATCTTGCAGGGCTATACGATGATAACAGATTGATCTTATCGTACAATGGTCGTTTTATACTCGAGGAATGTGTTGAGAGAAATTTATGGAATCAAGATTTTAAAAATAAATTGGAACAAGCAATACACACAGAAGTTTTAGAAAAATTAAAAATGCCCCTGTGTAGACAACATGTACGGCTCGGTGTGGATCTAGAATTTGAAGACGATCCAGAGATCAAAACTAAAATTGAACTAGAAAAAAAAGATATTGAAAACGAATTGGATATTTTATCAAAAACACCTTTTAGACATTTAGTTTTTCAGTTTATGGATTCACAAACAGAGTATGATTGGTTACAAATTGGTAAAATAACCAATAAACCTTATTTACAATGTAAAAGATTTTGGCATCTAATGTTAAAACCACATATATCGAGAGCTAACTGGACGCAAAGTGAAAATAACCAATTAATTGAAATTACCAAAAAGTATAATGAAAAAAATTGGCAGCAAATAGCTGTTGAATTAAATACTAACCGCAATGAATTACAATGCTTTGTTCATTATCAACATTTTAGAAAATCATCATATAAAACTGGTAAATGGTCAATGGAAGAAGACAATAAGCTTATGAGAATAGTTAAAGCACATACAATTGACAACATAATATATTGGCAAAAAGTTAATTTTGCTATGCTTAACGAAGGACGATCTGTTGAGCAAATTTATAACAGGTGTGTAAATATTATATTCATTTTTATATTTAACTTTTTATTAAATGTTATATAATAAAGATTTTAATGACTTTAGATTCTGAGCAAAGCAAGGAATGTATTGGTTTTTCAATGATGGGTTTTTTTTTGTAAACAACTTCTACCAGAAATTTTGCTCTGTTTATTTAGTGCAGCACCTTTTCTGATAGGAAATTCAATCTGAGCGGTACTTAAGGGAGATCATTTTTTGATTTATCAATAAGTTGTCATAATAATTGGGAAAACAAGTTTAAGAAAATTGTAAATATTACGGCCTTTCTAAACATATATATCAATGTATGAAATACATTAAATACCTCTCTATATCCTACCTTTCCAACTTTTCATCTCCAACAGTGGTTTACCGATTGTGCAAAGTAGGTCTGTCCTTCTTTTTATTTAAATCCAACAATTATTAATTATTTTTTGTAGGCAGATACCTAACTAAATTTAATTCTATAGGTTTTTCAATAATCAATATTCAGAACTATAATTTATATCAACACTATTTTGTTTTTAAATTTAACACAAGTGTATTCTAACATGGTGTGCCCTATTTAAACAATCTTTTTATTTTTGTATATATTAGTTAGATGAATATAAAATAGATTATATTTATTATTTATAAAAAAATCTTAATATATACAATATAATATATATTTGTAATGAGTTGATTTTGTTTTAACAGATGGGTGTCTAGCTTGAAACCAGGAATTAAAAAAGGACCATTGACTCACAACGAAAAAGTTCTCATTAATACAGCTCAATTAAAAAAAGTGCCACCTTATGTGGTTTCATTGAACTTAACAAATCGAACAACTACACAAATCCGTAATGCTTATCATCGGAATGCATTATCTAAAAACATAGTTCGAGGCGGTTGGACACCAGAAGAAGACAAAATGTTACTACGTGCTGTTCATCCACATGCACGTAATGAATTGACATGGTCACAAATAGCTAAAGAAGTACCTGGACGTAACGCAGAACAATGTCGTCATAGATACACATTAATTGAAAAAAAAGTACAAAAAGATCCACAAATAACTGTTGATAATTTTCAACGAACCAAAAGGCCATATCATGTTACTAGAGAGTGGGCTGATCTCGATGAAAAACAATTACAAGAAAGCTTTAAACAAAATCGTCTAAGCATAAAACGTTTAATAAAAGTAAAGGAAGTTGAAACAGCAGCCGATCGTAAATTAAAAAAATCATATTTGGACAATATTTATATTACTACCCATTGTAATTTTTCTAGTAAATGTGAACTTCTAAAATATTTACTTGATTATATGGGAGCTGATTTAGTTGTACCTGAACAATTTAACCATGAAGATGATTTAAAAGATGAAGGACTTTTGAGCATGATGACTTACTTAAAAGAGTGTTCTATAAAACCATTGACATTAAATTCCTGTAATATTGAACAAAATATGACTGATGATGTAAAGTCCACTTATGATGGAATTCATGGAGTTTTAAGAACGAGTGACATCATTAATTCAGATATTAGTGAAATAGAAGGCTTATTAGATATCAGGATAAGAAATCACCATGATAAATCAACATCCCAGAGCATTAACAATAAAAATTCAGCCTCTATACAAAAGTGTAATTTAGTAAAACCATCATATTTATTACCATTATATTATATGGGTTCTGTTCCACCAAATTATGAGACATTTAAAATGTTATATTCATATATAACTAATCTGAATACATTAATGAAAACCAATTCGTTAAAAACGCATAACATTAAGTTTGATTGGGATGCTAAAGAATCTAAAAAATTACATCAACGGCTTGTTGCCATTTTTAGGTGGCCCGCATTATTTTCCGGTCTTGTAAATTATAATACAGAAAATATAAACATTATCAGCAACATAAAACAGCAAATAGATTCAAACTATTCAGCATATCCTTATGTTTGTGCTAAGAAGAGAAAATTACATTTTAATTCGAAAACATTTTGATAAAAATTATACATTCTTGTTATATGTAATTAATTAAAAAAAACACAGTTTATTCCTAATAGTAAATAAAATATTTTATTTAATTGTATTGTTATATTTTATACCAAATATTGCTATATAAATATAAACATCGGTAAATGTACATTTTAATTCATAAAACACTGTATTATAATTTTTAAGTCTTTAGTATATAGTCTTTTCTATATTAAAAATACAAAATACAAATTCAATGTGTTAATGACTTCATTCATTTTTAGAATAGATCCAATTCTTCTTCACATACAGGATGTAACAGGACTATTTGACATTTTTACATTGTAGTTACATGTAAAAATGTTAAATCGTTCAGTTACACTCTGTATACAATTATTAACTCTACAATGCATGATTCTTTTTTTCTTTTTATCCTTACGGATATGGCTAAATAAACACAAAACTTAAAACCGTGTTTTAATATACTATTATGTATTTTATTACTAAAAAAGTTGAATACCTATTTTGTCATCTGGATTTTTAAACACTTGTCAAAAACGCGGATCAATATTTTTTCCATGAATTGATTTGTTGTTTACGGTCCCGGTTTAAGGTATTTTAAATCGAGAGTCGCGGCCATATACATATTAACATGTCTATGATCCAATATGTATCTTAAACCCTGATGATCACAGCATGGGGAATGCGAAAATTTTGATCATAGACCTATAATGACCAACCTTTATTTCATAGATCTATGATTTTGATAACCACTTACCATTTTACCTACAAGCCTGCAGGTAGCTACTTTAGTAGTTTAGTATAGGTACTTATGTATGTTGTATTGTATATTCGTATTATACTATAATAGTACACGGTGTACTAGGGATGTTTGATCGAAAAAAAAATATCGATACTTTTACTTGATATCAAATCGGTAGAAAGTATCGATATATCGATAAAATCCAAATTTTAAAAGGAACTATCGATATTCGCTCATATCAATAGTATCGTAACATCCCTAAATACACTACACTACTACACCAGTACGGTCCATGAGTCAGTCGGTTATAATTTTGTTTCCTGTAATTCCATAATTTGGCGCTGCAGATTGTAAGCCAGCATCAGACTAGCAATCTTTTTCCTATGCTACCAGCCGTCTACGAATATCCAACAGTTACCTGAAGAATACAGATAATCGTTTATGTATTGTGCAGTATCTTGCCACAAGCACTGCATATTTCCTAAGATTGAAACTGCACACTAGACACAACAGTAGGTAACTTTTTATTTCTATAGAAATCATAATGTCAGGCTGTACTCAGGTAGGTAATCTGCATGTAAAAAATAGTATAATATCGTCTCCTTTAAATAATACAACTACTAAAATACATCGAAAGCTACACAATAACACAATACAATATGTGTAAAATTGTTAATGTATACACTACTGGGTAAAATCTAATCAAAACTGTTTGTTTAATCAAATATCTAAATCTAATGTTTTAAAAATTTTTTTTAATTATTTTAATTTAATTAAGAAATTTTTTTTATTTATAGGTGTCTAAACTCAAAATGTTCAACCCAATATTTTCTTTGACGAAACAGTCATATTTTGCATGTGATAGTTCAGCCAAGAAGTGGTATGAAACTGTTCCAAAGTGTGTAGAGCCTATCCATTTGAAAAAATGTTGCAATACACTATTAAGTATGACAAAAAAAAGCATAAATCACTCAATCCCATTAGATTTTACAATTTCCGCCACTGCTGCAAGTAATGGACATATGGATTGTCTTGTTTATGCTCGTAGTTTAGGATTTCAATGGGATAGTAAAACATGTAAGAATGCTGCTTCAAATGGACACCTAAATATTTTGAAATATGCACATGAAAATAGTTGTCCGTGGGATAAAACTACGTGCACAGCAGCGGCCAAATATGGACATTTAGATATTTTGAGCTATGCCCACGAAAATGGATGTCCTTGGGATAAAAATACGTGCAGTTCAGCAGCTCTGCACGGACATGTTAGCATTTTAAAATATGCCCATGAACATGGATGTCCGTGGGATGAACAAACATGCAGATGGGCTGCAAAAGGTGGACGTTTACTTACTTTGAAATATGCCCATGAAAATGGCTGCCCTTGGAATGTAAAGACGTGCAAATCAGCAGCAAGAAATGGATATCTTAAAACTTTAAAGTATGCTCATAAACATGGCTGTCCATGGGATGTATCAACAACTATTATGGCTGCAAGAAATGGTGATCTAAAAATGTTAAAATATGCTCATGAAAACGGTTGCCCGTGGAACGAACGTGTGTGTTCAGAGGCTGCAGGAAGTGGAAATCTTAATGTTTTAAAATATGCTCATAAAAATAATTGTCCATGGGATGATTCAACATGTATTTCTGCTGCACAAAGCAGGAACAGAGATGCCTATAACTATGCTCTTAAAAATGGATGTCCTCTTTTCGGTCCTATAGATGTGGAAGAGACAATTGAAAGCTTTCGTGCATATTGTTCAACTGTAGTATTTGAACGTTATGTATAATATTAAATTTACAGGAACAATATTCAGCCGTTAGTTCATACTTTTTTTATTAAATGTTTGTGGGCTTTGAGTAAATTTAATTGGCCTGTGTAGATTTAAGTTTATAGATTAGAATATAGATATACAATACCTAACATAAGTTTTGCAGTTCATATAAGACTGCTTAAACTAGAAAAATTTGTAAACCCAATAGCCCATGCTGTCAAGGGTCTTTTTTTTTAAAATAAAATAATAATAATAAGGAAAATGTCTATTTTACACATTTTTTATTTTTATTTATTTTGAAATACTTTTGTTATTAAGTGTTTGTGGGCTATGAGTAAATTTAATTGGCCTGTGTAGATTTAAGTTTATAGATTAGAATATAGATATACAATATTTAAAATAAGTTTTACAGTTAACATTAGAGTGCTTAACTAGAAAAAATTTGTAAACCCAATAGCCCATGCTGTCAAGGGTCTTTTTTTTTAAAATAAAATAATAATAATAAGGAAAATGTCTATTTTACACATTTTTTAT